TTTCCCCCCACTATTTATCAGTCCCTGGGCACCTGGCATGCCTGACTCCCAATCTGAGGCTGGCACCGCATGGCCCCTGATACAGAGCATCTTATCTCAGAAATGTTGCAAACTCACACAAATAACTTCTTTCTCATGGCTCTGCAGGTCCTGCAGCTGCACATGGGGAAGAGGCCACAGTTCACAGTGGGGATGCAGCCTCAGGGTCACCACTGTCCATAGCTGGGGCCCTGTGGGTGCACCAGCTCTGCCAGAGGTGGACCCAGAACTGCACAGTCCTCCTGGAGCTGCTGGTGGAAGTGTCAGAGGACTGGCTGGAGGACTCAAGGGCCTGGCAAGTGTGCAACATTGACTGTGAGGATGCACGGGAGCACACAGACAGGGAGTTCTGGGAGCAGACCCTAGTCCTGGAGCACAAGCAGGTGGAGGCACTGTGGGAGCAGAACACCATCCTGGCCTGGGCAGTGGAGGTCCCAGACAATGACCACTGGGTGGTGCACACTGTTCTGGCCCTGGAGGTCACTTTCATGTGCCCTCTGCTTGGCCCCTGACCCTAGCCCTGCCTGCCCCCTGGCAGCCACCCACTGTCCAGTAGCAGGCCCCCCATGGTCCTGGGAGGAGGTCCTGCACCACCCCTAGGAGGCAGGAGCTCTTGGCCTGGCCCCTGCCCTGGGTGCCCCACCACCCAGCTGTTCACATTGGGCCCAGGTCTGCTGCTCAACCCAGTTCCACACAGGTGCAGAGCTAGAGCTGCCTGTAGTGGGGCCAGGACTGCACACTGGCTATGCTGGCCCTGGACATTGGCCACCAGAGGGGGAGCCACTCACACAAGTGGGGCACTAGCTCCCATTGTCCCTGGGTGAGCACCCTACCCAATGGGCTCGCCGCAGAGCCTGCACCCACGGGTGAACACCTAGAGGCCAGGCTTCTGGTCGCCTGTCCACAGGCTCTTTCCCCTAGGTACTCTGACCCCAAGGCCCCCCACGCCAGGACAAAACACAACACACTTTGTAAATAGTTTGCACAGGGAAGAGGGTGTTTTATTGTTGGTGGGTGGGGTGGGTGCAGAGGGTCTCTGTTTATTGGGGGAGGTGGGGGATGGGGGGCTCTACTGGGGAGGTAGGAGAGTCTGTTTGATGTGAGGGGAATAAAAACAGTTGTTCTTGTGAGACATGTCTGCAGTGAGCATGGTGCTGGGAGTGGGGGCCATGGGCAGTTGTCCAGGTGGGCTATAGTGGGGAGTGCAGGAGGAGGTGGTCATCCAGGGCCTCTCAAACTTGGTGCCTTGGCTCCTGGTGGTGGGTGTTCGGCTCACCCTGGGCCTTGGCAGGGGGTCCACTGCTGTCACTTATACTGCAAATGGTGCTCCCAATGCTAGGCAGCCTATGCCCATTGTATGCCCTCTGCCTATTCTGCCTCCTCTGCTTAGGTCTCACAGAAGAGCTCCTGCCAGGTCTGATAGATACTATGCAGCATGCAGGCTGCAGTGATGACCTGGGGGAGGTTGTCCTTGGCATGAGGGTGCCCCAGCATCTCCCTGCTGTGAGGGTGCCCCAGCATCTCTTCAGATGTCCAACGGTGCACTCCATCAGGACATGGGTCCTGCCCAGGCAACAGTTAAAGTGGGCCTGGTAGGGGTCCAGATGCCCAATGTAGCCAGGGGAGGAGTGAGGGGAAGGTTCCCCAATAAGGAGGTGCAGGACCACCATGGCACCCAGCTGTAGGTCTGGCAGCCCGGCGTGAAGCACCCACTCTCCACCAGGCCCAGCAGGGTGGAATTCTAGAAGACACAGGCATCATGGGCTCTGCCTGCTTATCTGGCACTCACATGCATCAAGGTGCCTTAGTGGTCCACAATGTCATGGAACATCATGGATGAAAACCCCTCAGCTGTAGTAGGGGTGGTCGCCATGGGATGGGCAAGTGATGGAGATGTGGGTCCTGTCCAGGTCCCAATGCACTGGTGGAGTGCATGCAACCCTGCCACCACCATGAAGAGGTCATGCACGTGGAACACGTTGTTTCCCATCATGTCCTGGAGGGCCCCGTACATTTCCAGGATGGCCTCCCTGGCAGTGGCCTTGCCCACCTCAAAGAGATAGTCCACATATCAGAAACTGGCTGGAATGGCCAGCTTCAGCAAGGTGAAAGCCAGCCATGTGTCTGTGGGGAGGGGCGGCTGCATGGTGGTGTCCTAGTGCTCTAGGTTCAGATGGAGCTGCTCCAGGTGGTCCCACAAGGTAACCCAGTTCATGCAGAATTCCTGCAGCCACTACTCATCATCCCAGGTCTGCTAGACTATGTGTAGTCACTATTCCTGGCTGGTGCGGTGGGCCCCGAGGTGGGGCTGGAGACCGAGGAGGGCAAGGGTGGTCCCAGCAAATGGTGTCCAGGACCATGTTGGTGGCATTTCTGTTGGGGTCCAGCCAGCTAGATGGTTTCCAGGCAGTGTGGCAGCCCTGGGATGACATAGTGGGGCTGGGCATGCATTCACTGCATGCGGGGGAGCTGGGAGAGGCAAGACAGCCATGGGCCAGCCGAGGTCAGTGCAGCAGGGCAGCAGGGCCAGGGCAGTGGCCAGAAGGACCCCCAGGCACTGGTAATTGCTGCCAGGGGCATGGGCTGGAGCAGCCATAGTGCAGGGAGGCAGAGGCAGTGAGGAGAGAGCTCCCGCATGCTGCCCCTGCATTGTGCACACTGCTCCTGGCCAGGGAAGTTACTGGCCAGGATGCAGAAAGCAGGGCTGCCTTTTCAATAAAGCTGCTGGCTGCAGGAAGTTTGGTGCTAAGAGCTGCAAATCTGCTTCCTAGTCCCTGAATGTGTAAACACCTGCCTGGGAGCATTTCCTCGCAGGTAGTTTACTTGCAAGTAAGCTGATCTCAGATGAAATGCATGTGTAGATGTGCCCACTGAGTAAGCCAAATGTATTTTTTTAAATAATGTTTAACAATAGATTTTGAATATAGAAGTATCTATATTTTCAGGAGGCTAATACCATGGTGTCTTTAGTGAAATCAAGACCAGAGTTTCCAGTCACCACAGAAACTAAAACACCCCAAAGATTGTTATGATATCGAATAGAATATTTCCTTCGATTTTTAAAATGATATAAAAATGTTATGTTACATTACTCACTTATTTCAAAAGAAGTGCAGAATTCAAATTCAAAATTATTTTGTATTTGTTTTGACCTGTGAGTTTTTCCCATAGTTTTTTGCCTCATTTATGCCTCCTAGTAGAATATATATACCTATGCATTTATGCTCAAAACAATATTGTGATCTTCAAATATTCATGCTATAAATATCCTTGTTCTATGATAAAATATCTGAAAATGCTGCTTCATCCTTAATAGAAATAAAAGCATCTCTCTGAATCTGAAAACGAGTCTCATTGGGCATGTCCAGATGAGTGCGGTTGTGCGGTATGTAGTGCCACAAATATGTCTGCAGCTCCATATATTGCACAGTCCAGTGTTCTCTGTGCTGCAAGAGCACACTGCCTGAACATGCACTACGCCAGGTTTTTTTTTCTTTTGGCAGGATTTTTTTAACCCCTGGATATTCAGGGGCAAAAAAAAAAATATACATGGGGGAAAAAAACAGTGTAGTGCACGCTCGGCCAGCACGTGCTGCTGAAAAGTGGATCTGGGCCACCTGGAGCTGTGTTGCAGCTGCTGGCCAGGCTTTGAGTGGCAGAATTGCCACTGTTGCAGCCATGAGAGGCCTCCAGGACCTCAGGTAAGGCTGCTGGGCCAGTACAGTGCCTTCCCCAGCCTCCCCTACTCCACCCAGGGCAACTTGCCATGCACCAAAGTGCGCATGGCGTGGGTGTTCCCTGGGGACAAGTAGCAGCAGCTGAAGGTGTGCCACCGCTACTTGTCTCTGGGGAACCAAACATCCACACATGTCTGGACACACCCACTAGTGCTATCTATTTCAGATTCAGACCAAAGGCAAAAGAAGTAGAATTAGTCACATGAAAATAATCTACATTTGTTTCCTTTATATGGCTTCTAGAAACAGTCTCAGTTATATGTCATTACAGCTCTCCCAGTGAGTTACAGTTACTGAGAAGAGACCAATAGTGAAGTCAGAATTTAATAGATATATAGATATCTAATAAAGATCTTAATCTTAACAGATATACTTAGTTAATTTTTTCTCCTGATATCTGTCTTAGGTCCTTTTTTTTTAATGATCTGAAGTCTTGTGTGATGTGATCTCAGCTTATCTCTTTCTTGGTTTCAGTGAGGCAATAGCTCCGTCTGGTGGTTTCTGATCTAATTAAGATAAATACATAAGCCTACCAAAACCGTTTGATATTTTAAATTAATGCTGATGTTCCATTGATCATTTTTTTAAAGAGCACTACCGTTCTATTACTTATTCTGTGATGCAATAGATGTATCAATATTTTCTTGCCTAATTTGTTTTGATGTTTTCAATAAAGTGCTGGTTCATTATATTCATATTTGTATGCTCAATGCATATAATTCTAAAAAAACAAAAAATTTTAAGGTTTTCAAATCCAACTCTTATAGTTCCAAGATTTTGGTTAATTCCAGATGATATAAACTGTGTACTAGAGGAAATTAAACCTCGTTCGGATATGATTCACTTAAGCATGCTTCTTCTTTTTTTAATTATTGTGCTTTAGTTTAGATTTTCTGTTCAGAAAAAAAAACCCATACTGTTCATAATTTTTGGTCATCCAAACCTAACTCAAAATTTAGAAACAATACATTTTCTGGCATGCCGGGGAACACTGTTTAAAAATTATTCAGGTAGAGTTAAGGGCATGCCAAATAAGATTTGTGAGGTTTCAAATATTACTTCCTGAAATGACTGAATATATAGCTGATTAGATATTTTTGCTTTAATGCAAACAGTTCCCTCAGTTTCTCCCTTGTAGTCACACAATAATACAATATATATGAAAACAAGGAATTGACAACACCATAATTATTCTATCAAATACATTACTTTTTGTCTCCCAAGGACTCTCCACTGAAAGCTGTACAGATGCTTTGGGTCAATCTAATTATGGACACCTTTGCCTCTCTTGCTTTGGCCACTGAACCTCCTACAGAGTCTCTACTGCTAAGGAAACCATATGGTAGAAACAAGCCTCTTATATCACGTACCATGATGAAGAATATCTTGGGGCATGCTGTTTACCAGCTCACTCTCATTTTTACACTCCTTTTCGTAGGTAAGATAAAGGGTTTTTTATTTTTCCATTTCAAGTGTCCCTTAAATCTGCTTTTGCTTAATTCTGAAGTATCCTCAGTTGCAACTAGGTGCCACAAAATGCACTGAGCCTCCCAGCTGCATTTTCTGATATACTGCACCTGCCATAAGACACGTGCCTTGTTTTAGGGAAGCAGAATGAAGAAATCTGAACTGCCACAGCACAGGCTTACTATGAGTTAAGGTTGACCATTCATCCACTAAAGGTTTACGCTTGTCACAGTCACCACCAAGTTATTTTCTTCTCCTATGTGGAAAGAATGCATAGCCCTTGGCAGCCATTCCAGCATCCTCATTCAATCAAGGAAATCAGTTTCCTTGCTTTATACACACCCCCTCATTTTGAATGGCTAATTTTTGGGGGGAACGGGTGTGTGATATGTGAGGAAATAGCGCATAACACTGGCATTAATCCTATCGGCTCAACTGCAATAGTACCACAGTTTGAGCCATGCAATGAGATCAAAAGAGATAAAGGAAAACAGTTCTACCTGGCAGGTCAAAGGGGGGCACTCGGATGATTTTGTGACCTCTGCTTTGTTTTTCATTGACATGGGGTGCATCTACATGTGCAATTAAGGCAAAGAAACTCCAGAGCACTTTGAGCCAGAGCAAACTGCTCCCAGGTGCAGCATTTACACATGCGCCTGGGATTGCAGCACGTTGAGCCAGGGTGGAACATGCTCAGGCTGGCATAGGGCATGAGGGGTCAGCCCTGGTGTCTGGGTGGCAGCATCAGGCTGTAGAGGGGCTGGCTGGGGCATAAGGATGCAGACTCTGCAGAGTTGTGTGAATATGTGGGAGCCAGGGGTCTGGCCCCTGCCTGGTCACCATCTACACATGCATTTCAGTGCACTTATGTACTCCACTGTAAGATAGTCCTGTCCATGACAGTACTATTCTATGGCAGAGTTAATAAGTTTACTGTGCCCTAATACTGGCACATGTGTAGATTGTGATGCTTTACAGCAGAGATAATTAGTCAACTCTGCAGTAAAGTGCATTAGTAGATGCACCCATGAGGTGCATGCCTTCAATACAAGTTATAGATTACCAAGAAAAGGATTAGGTTCAGGAGTTGGCAGGGGTTTAGGTTAATGTGTATGTATATATACCCAAATGGTTACCCTGCTCCTAAACTGGAATTTAATGTTAAGCCTTGCCCAGCCCTTCTGGAATATTACTTCTCCCTGGATGAAGCACTCTGCATTTATCCTTATTGAACTGCATCTGGTTCTGCTCTGCCCACCTTTCCAGCTTGTCCAGGTCCGCTTGGATCCATATCATATCATCTAGTATGACCGCTTTTCCCAATAACTTAGTCTCATTTGCAAGCTTTCTCCTGACGGTTATCAGCTGTCCTGTCCCATTCTGTAAGGGCCCCACATTTCCCTTGGTCTTCCTCATGCTCCCTATATACCTAAAGAAGGACTTCTTATTGGCTTTGATTTTGGTCACCAACCTGATCTCAGTCTCCACCCTTGCCTTCCTTATCCTCTCCCTACAAATGTAGGCTATATTTGTGTATTCCTCCTTGGTGATTACCCCTTGTCTCCACTGTTCATAAGCCTCCTTTTTCTTTTTTAAGCACTCCCTGACTCCTCTGGTAAGCCAAGAGAGCTTCCTGGCTTCTTTACCACCTGTTCTGCACACAGGAATGGACCTTTTCTGTGATCTGAGGATTGCTTCTTTGAGGAATGACCACCCCTCCTGAACTCCCTTCCCCTCCAGTCCCTCTTCCCATAGGGTCTCTCCCACTATTTTCCTAAGGTCATTGAAGTCAGCCTTCCCAAAGTCAAGCACCTCTATCCTAATGGCTGGCTTTCTTGCCCTATGATGGATAGTGAATTCTATCATCTCATGATTGCTGTCTTCCAGATTACACTCAATCCTCAGATCTCCCACCAGGTCATCCCCTTTGTCCCCAAATCCAACAAAGTCTTCCCCATGGTTGGCCCATTCACCTCCTGTACGAACCATAGTTTTTCCATGCAGTTCAAAAAACTATGTGACTGGTCAGATCTGTCCAAGAGCTCCTCCTAGCAGATGTCAGGGTAATTGATGTCACCCATGACAACTGTGTCCCTTGAACGTGCAACCTCCATCGGTTCTCTGGAAAACTCCAGATCCAGCTCCTCCTGGTGTGGCAGTCTGTAGTAGTTGCCTACCATCAAGTCCTCTTCTCCTCATCTCCCCTGTATCTTGACCCACAGGGTCTTGAGTCACCCATTGATTTATGTGGCCTTAAATGCTCTCCACTCTTCCTCCCCCACCCCCACTCCCTCTACTAAGAGCCTGTTTTGAATGCTCAGAGGTTGATGGTAGTCTTATTTAGAGTTTAGATTATGGATTGTACAGGATGGTTTGGATAGGGTTGATCCTGCTTCAAGCAGGGGGTTGGCCTAGATGACCTCTAGAATCCTTTGATTGTATGATTCTATAACTTCTCATATAAACTTGTTGGTCATTGATATTTGCTGTATGGTGAGATTTTTCTCTCTTTTTTTTTTGTTTTAAAACACTGACAGTCATTCTTATCCCTAACCAATGTTTTATTCTTTGCCATTTAAATAAACAGTATAATGACTTTTGATGAGCTTACACAGCAGGTTAACAAAATTGCAAAAGCAACTAATTTTAAAATTGGTAATAGTTATATTAGCTATTGTTTTTCCCCAGTTCATATCCTAAATATTTATCAAAAGGTATAGTGTATGAGACAGTAATATTTGGAAACTGTGAAGGACGATTGCTACTAATTATTACAAAAACAGCAACTACATGGTCAGCAAGTCCATTGGATGAAAACATAAGTCTTTGCTTTCTTTCTTTAAGATAGTGTCTACCTTGTAGGAGGAAAAACACCTCAAAAATCATTTTTGCTGGTATATTGGTGCACACATTTCAGGGACCTGATCTATGATCATGCAGCTTACTTTAAACCACATAATCATAGATCAGACCCCTGCTTGTGCATATGTTTATTGGTGCTGGGGCCACAATCTAAGTAATTTGGGGTAGGGGGAGACACAGGCAGGATTTGTGGGGAGGTCTAACGGGTCTTTGGGGGATGGTTGGCAGGATGGGGAGGCTGGCAGGTCCATGGGAGGGATGGAGGGGTAGAATGGCTAAAAATATCCCAGTCAGAGTGGAGGCATAGGAAAAGTGCAGCCCTGGGACTGGGATGAGCAGCTGGGCTTTCCCAGCCCTGGGTTTGGACTCCAAACATTTGGCTAGATCAGGCACGAGTTAGCCTGGTCTATGTAGTGCAGCTCCGTAAGTGAACTAAGTTAGGTCAGTCTGGCTGTTTTTAGCCTGGTCTAACCTCCCCACATGTGTGTATAGTTCAGCACTTAGATGGACTTATTCCTAGTTAGGTCAATTGAAGTGTAACATCTACACATATTCCAAGCCACTAACTAAAATCAACTTTGTTAAACTTCACAGTGGGGAACTCAGCAGTTCTTTTGCTCACTGAATTAGGAACTGCCATTATTATAGTAGCTTTGGAAGGAATGTTGTTAAAAAGCATTTCAGGGCAAAAGAGCTATCCGTTGCAGAGAGATGGACATAAAAATACAAGACAGAATGTTTTGGAACAGTAAACAACTTTTTTGTTCCTTTTTATTAAGGTGAACAAATGTTTCAGATTGACAGTGGGAGGAATGCACCGCTCCACTCTCCTCCTTCGGAGCATTATACCATTATTTTCAACACCTTCGTCATGATGCAGCTCTTCAATGAAATCAATGCACGCAAAATCCATGGCGAGAGGAATGTTTTTGATGGCATTTTCAGAAATCCTATATTTTGCACTATCGTATTGGGTACATTTGCTATACAGGTAATCATTTATGCAAGAATCAGCAATTGTTCAAAAATAATAATACATCATGTCTTTTTCTAGTTTTACTGTTCGGAAAACCAAGTTGGGTAGCAGGCCCAGTTCATACCAATCTATCTGCTATCAGACATATTCTTGTTTTATAAATACCTCATATCTCATTAATAGTACATTTGAACACTTTAGCTTAGGTTTAATATATGTCCGTAGACTAGAAATACAGAAAAAGTCTTGACCACACATGTGCATAAAGATTTGTAGTAAGTATAATTTAATAAATTGCAATGAATAACTGATTTCTTGAAACAATAAATACCAGTGGAGATTAAGAATGTAACTAGTAGCAGTGAATAATATCTACCCTTTTTACCCTTTAGTAGTAGTGATGAACAAGGTGCTCATTAAATAACTTCACAGTTGAGTCAAGCACTGACTTAAATGTATATGATGCTTTGTACCATTGCCTGCACAATTAGGCTAAGTACAGACTGTCAAAAATTCATAGGCTGGATCAATTCAATCTTCACAGGTTAGTCTAAACTCTGTAGATTGAACAGATAAGCAAGTGAACAGACCTTGTTTCGATTCTGGAAATGCAGCCACACCTATGCCTGCAGTGGCTCAGGCCTGAAGCAGGGGAGTGCTAGAGCACACCTCCCTGCTTATCTAGAGCAGACAGGATAGGCCAAGGCTATCCCACCCAACTTTTGAGGGGGTGGGTCTGCAGAAGAGGTGTAAAGCAATCTGTGATGCTGGGGGACTGTGAGTTAACTTGAATCTGGAGGGGATTTGGGACAGAAGTTCAATAAACTGATTTAAACTAAATTAGTTCAGGCTGATACTACATCCAACCAGGTTTAACAAACTGGTTTTGACCATTGGAAAGAGCTTCATGCGTACTGATTTTCTGTTGTGTTACAGATTTGAACCAGTTTCCAATCACTTATATCAGTTTGTGTGTAACGTCTGTTCCTAGCATGTTACAATAGCTTTAACCATCACTGCAGAAGCACTATGTTTTTCCTAGAGGTGTTTTAAAGGATTATATTCTCCTCTCTAGTATCTTCCTTTTAATCTGTTATTAGCCAGTCTTCTGTAAAACCCTGTACCAGATACTATAAACAAAAGCCTTTGTGCAGTCTACTCAATACCTGAGAATCCCTGGACATTAGGGCTGTGCAAAATTTCAACTGGTGTTTCGTTTTGAAGCTGTTTCAACTCATTTTAAGGTTGAAGTAGAGAAATTGAAATGAAATGAAATGAAATGAAAGGCTTTGAAACAAAACGAGGGCATTTGAAACATTTTGAAAGTTTCACAATGTTTCGAGTTTCAAAGCTGGCTTGCTTGCAGCTGAACAGAAACTAAGGAGAAGGAAGGAGAAAGGACTGCTTTGCTATTGGCATCTAGCTCCCAGTCCGATTCCCTAGCTCTCTGATTATTCTCCAGCTCCTCCCAGGGGCTGACCCCCGATCTGCATGTGAGGTTTCAGCAGGCTGAACAGGGAGCTGGGAAATCAAACCGGGGGATGGGGAATCAACCCAGGAGCTGAGAAATTGAACTGGAGGCTGGGGAATTGAACAGGGGGCTGCAGAATCAAACTGGGAGCTGTGGAATTGAACAGGGGGCTGGGGAAATCAAACCGAGAGCTGCGGAATTGAGCCAGGACCTGGGGGAATGTTCAGGTCCCTGAACATTCCCCCAGTTCCTAGTTCAATTCCCCAGCTCCCTCATTTTCCCCCAACTCTCTGATTGCTTCCCCCACCTCTTCCTGGGGGGCGTGGGCCCCCAGATGATGTGGGAAGACAGCAGGCTGCCATTGCCAGCTGGGGATGGTGGCAACTCTGGGCTATTTCCTGAGCTAGAAACAGCAATCTGCTGAAACCCCACATACAGATCTGGGAGCTGCATCCCCTGGAAAGAGATGGGGGAAGTGATAAGAGCTGGGGAATGAACTGGAGCTTTGGCTGACATGTGGAGCCACCCCAGTTCTGGGATTCAGCCCAGTTCAGCTGCCATACATGTGCCAGGTGAGGGGGGGTGACTCCTGCTGCCCCGCACTGAGTGGGGGGTCTCTGCCACAAGCCCTCAGAGGCCCCATTTGCTGCTGAAGGGAGAGTGGCATCCAACTGATATATTGAGTCCATTAAATAAATTTTAGCCTTTGGTCTCAATTTTCTCTTCCCCCAACAAGGAACCTTCTAAAATAAATAGATATATTAGTCTCTGTGCATAACTCAAAAGTCTGCTTCTGCAGTTTTCATTGTATGCAATGTACAATAAAACAAATGGGAGTTATGCCCTTGAGAAAATACAGGATAAAAGACTACGTAGTCTGGGGGTTTTGCTTGCTTTTCAGCCTCTCTTAAAGCTGGGTAATATATCTTGGGGTAAAATGGGTTATTCTTTCAATTAAATTTTCCACGTTAGTGATTATATGATATTTTCTGAAGAGTATAACTTTATAATACAGTGTGCTGAAGCAGCTCAGAATGATATTTACTGTTCTTCAACTGGCTGGTATGTTATGATAACCAATCTGATGCGCTTACTTTTTGCTGTAAGTAAAACTAATTGATGATCCACAGGAGTTCACCCTGTCCTTGGGAATTAATATGATAGATTAAAAGAAATGTGGGTTGGCCACATCCATAAACTTGTTTCGTTCCATGCATATTTATTGAATCTGCTATGAGACACAGAAAAACTGCTCCTGGGATTTTACCTTCATGTGCAGTCATCCCAAAGAATGTAACATCAGGGTGAGCAATGTTTTAGCATAAAAAACAGAGAACCCCACTGCATTTGGGTAGCGGTTTGGTGAAGATCAAGAAGATAGGTCTATGAGGGTTTCAGCATATACGGCGGAGAAAATGGTAGCATTTTTTTTTCTTTTCTCAATCAAGTAATATCTTCCCATCACCTCCCAGAACACCCCTCCCCTCTTTCAGAGTAAAATCACAAAATGTGTTCACAGTAAAGGGGAATGGAACAATTATGCCTCTTTCCATTATTGCACCCTGACCCTTAGTCCCTTTTGTTCTGTGTTCTACCCTGTAACATATCTATTATCTGTCACTCTTTTTTATCTCTAAATCTCTGTTGAGAACCCTACTTCCAGTGAGAATCCTATTTCCATCTACTTCTTTCAATGTTAACCTCTTTAGTATCAAGCTCTGCTTGCTCCTCCTTTTTTTTCTCTCCACGTTCTCCAAGCTACTATCTCTTCTTCCTTTACACCTCACATTCCTCTCATTCATTCAGGCGGCTTGTTTTTGAGGCCACTGGCAAGGGTATTTGAGAGCTCATGGTGCTCTGGTGAAGTGCCTAAAGATTGGAAGAAGGTCAACGTAGTGCCTAGCTTCAAGAAAGGGAGGAAAGTAGATCGAGGGAACTACAGGCCAATCAGCTGGACCTCAACCCCTGGAAAGATTTTGGAAAAAATTATCAAAGAGACCATTCTTGACAAGCTGGCTGATGGCAACATCCTGTGGGACAGCCAGCATGGGTTTTTTGCGGGTAGGTCTCACCTGACCAACCTCATTTCTTTCTGTGAGCAGATGGCATATCACCTGGACAAAGGAGAAGAGATTGACGTCATATATCTGGACTTGAGAAAAGCCTTTGATCTGGTGTCTCACGATCTCCTCATGGAAAAATTCACAAACTGTGGCCTCGGCTACATCACAGTCCAGTGGCTGGGGAATTAGCTCTGAGTTTAGACTCAGTGAGTGGTAGTTGACGGAAGTGAATCATCATGGCACTCCATGACTAGTAGTGTCCCCCAAGGCTCCATCCTTGGACCTATACTCTTTAATGTCTTTATTAACAATGTGGATACTGGTGTCAGAAGCGGACTGGCCAAGTTCACAGATGACACCAAAATTTGGCACAGAGCGTCCACACCCGAGGATAGGCTGGTGATCCAGGCTGACCTTGATAGGTTTAGAAAGTGGGATGGTAAAAACCTGATGACATTCAATACAGAAAAATGTACTCCACCTCAGGGGGAAAAACCCCACATCACGCTTATAGGCTCTCCAGTGCTGCGCTCCAGCCCTAATGGCTATGAATTTTCAGACCTATGCCCTTAGTTACAGGACAGTAACCATTTTGTATATTAGAAAAGGGGAGGGCCATATTGTGCTCTTATTGAAAACATCAGCACCAGCTTTACAGTACTAGTATTTATTCTTACCTGTGACCCTGACTACTGCATATGAAATACTTTTCTCTCATTATTTTGTGAATCCTATTAATATCTGTTTATTAGGCCTGTGCGAAGTGGCTAGTACTCACTTCGGATTCGGCCGATTCAGGGGACAGTGATTTGATTCGGTGATTCAGATCACTGTCCCGATTCGATTGGGCTGAATCTCCAAATCAGCTAGGGCAGGCCCAACCCCCACCTGCTCCCCCAGCCCAGCAATGGCTGCCTTACCTGCCCCAGCTCCCGGCTCTTTGGTAAAAAAAAAAAAGCCCAGGTTCATCAGGTGCTGCTGGGAGGGGGGGGGCGATCCCCACTGCCCCACACTGCCCCATGCTGCATGGAGGGGCTCTGCATGACCCCCCCTCACCCCCATCACTCCCCCAGCTCCCCCATGGGTGCCTCACCTGAGCCAGCTCCAGCTCGTTAAAAAAAAAAAAAATTAAACCCCTCCGCCAGACTCACTACTCCTGCTGGCGGGGGGCCATTCCCGCTGCCCCATGCCATGTGGGGAAGCTCTGCATGAGCCCCCAAAGCCCTGAGGCCACTGAGGGAGCAGTGAGTCCTAGGGCTTTTCTCATTTTTTTTCTTAAAGGGCCAGAGTTGGTGCGGGCAGGGCACCTGTGGGGGGGCCGGGGGAGCAGGGGGGTCAAGGGCTCCGGCAGAGCCCCCCCATGCAGGGTGGGGCACTGGGGA